GAATTGTAAAGGACTTAGGTAGAGAAATAAGGGGAAGAAGGTGTTAAAGGAGTAAGATTAGCTAATTGATCACTTGCTATGGTCCAAGCACTGGACTAGGTTCTTTCCACATAGTAATTTATCTAATCAGTTTCATGCTTTAAATATCTATTCAGAGAAATAAAAGGAAAATCAGCTTGGAGTAGTTATGTCCAAAAATTATTTTGAGATGGTCATTGAGATTTTACTTGCAAATATATGAATATATTAGTTTAGATTTTAGATGAGAGAAGTAGTGTAGTGTAGACGGAACCTTAAAAACAGCAAAGTCCAGAGAGGTTCATTGGCTTTCTCAAAATTACAATCTCTTGAACCAATAACCCAGCCTAGCATTATTCATATATCTAGATAGCAGGCTATCATTTATGTTCTGTTAACTGCTCTACATATTGCTTATGAATATGGATGCATTCAATATGAATTACTGAGAGGGAGAGCACTTTGGATAGTAGTGGAGCTTACTCATTTGCAAAATGCTACAAAATCTCTAGATGAGAGATATAAAGAAACACACACACACACACACACACACACACACACACACACACAAAAGTCTTAACCAATGTTTACAATACAAAGGAGTGCAGTTAGGGAGAAAATAAACTATTTTCTGGTATAGAGCTTGTAATAAATAATGTGCCCTTCACAGTGCTTGCACTTTAAGTTCACCTTAAATACTAATTGTCTTTCCTATTAGAAACAGTTGGTATGTTGACATTTGAATACAGTGTTTACATGTTGCAAATCCTTGAGTCTTGGCATGCTGCAAGACTGGGAGGACAAAAAAATGCCTTCCTTTGCATCCAGCAGCACATTGACTGATGAAAAATGTAAAATATCATCTCTACCTGACACCAATAAGCTGGAACTGTTATCACATTAAAAATACTGTTCATAAATACAATGTTTTTATTTATTCAACAGTATTTGTTGAGATCCTCCTCTATGTTGGGCACTGTCTTATCCTTTAGATTCTGAAGTTTATTATATTTAGCAGCTTGATTATAATTAATTTGTTAAGAAGTTTAAACGATATAGTGTTCAAGGGAATTCAAAGATATATTTAAGCACAAAGTCATAATGTAAGAATTTAAACTTGTTTTAGTAATTTCAGAGTTTTAATTTTGTCTTAATTTATACAAAGACATTTTCTAGGTGATTATCTTAAGACTCATGGAATCTAACTTGAAAATAGGCTAAGCAAAAAGATTTCAATAATATTGTTTCTTATTCTTTCCATATTTAACTTCCAATTTGAGGCAAAACTTTAAAGGCTCAGCAAATAGTTCCTAAATAGTCTGTCACTTTAAACCTCAAATACTCTGAGCTTTCTAAGCCCTCATAATAGAAAACATTTTGGGACATTCTAGGACTATCAGGATTTATTCGGTAAATATATAAAAAAATGTAAGCTGATATTGATTTTCCACTAAGATGATTTTTACCAGTTTCTACTTCATATTTTCAAATTTATGGCTGACATAAAATATGATGGCCATGTCTTTTTTTTTTTTCAGAGTGTAATACTGCTTGATATAGAGAGTTCATTATATATTCTTACTAATAAGGCCTATAAAAATTAATATATGCTTTTACTAGTTGGGCCTACAATAATTAATATTTAAATAATCATAACATTGAAGGTAATAGATTTTTGATATTTTGAAATACAACTTTTTAAATGGTAGATTCTTCTTTTATGTCCACAATTTATTCCCTGGCATAACTGCTTTTATAATCAGCAGCAGCAAGCCAATTTTATCAAATCCATATCATTTACCATGAGATATCCTTAAAAAGAATTTTGCTGTCTGCAGGATTTACTGAAACAGTGGCTGAGGACCATACATCATCTTAAGGATTGCATTTCACTTAAAATGTAATGACAGTCCATGTCTTTTTGCTGAAGCTCAACTCCTAAAATATTTAAACCAGAAGGAATGCTAACAAGCTCAATGTTTTATTTACTAGACTTTTTCAAAAGTCAAAGTACTTGCACATAGAGCATATCATTCTAAAGGCCCTGATAATACCATCTAGACATACACATTTTTTTAGGAATTGAGACATACCTCTATGATAAAGTGAAAATAATATGAAAATGAGCATAGGATTAAGAAATACAGGCCCTTAAATTCTAACCATGGCTATGTCACTATCTGTGGTGTGTGTGTGCATTTTTAAATAATATATTTTTATTGAAGGGAGAGGGAGAGAGAGATAGAAACATCAATGATGAGAAAGAATCATTGATCAGCTGCCTCTTGTATGCCCCACACTGGGACCGGGAATCGAGCCCACACCCGAGCATATGCCCCAACATCAGGAATAGAACCATGACCTCCTGGCTCATAGGTCGAAGCTCAACCACTGAGCCACACCTGCTGGGCATGTGTGTGCATATGTCTTGAATAAATATTATCTCTGAATCTAGTTAACATATAAGTAGAAAAAAGGGATTACTTTGTAAACATTGCTATAATTCCTTCCAGCCCTAAAACTCACAGATCAATGGATCCAGAACTGAAGGGTCCAATTGACTCATTTATTTTGGCACTTCAAATTCAGAAAACTTGTTCTCACACTTGGTAATGGGTTTTCAAAATAGAGGTGTTCTAGTTTACCAATTAGTATTATTGCCTTGGCTTGGGTCATATTATCAGCATGTGATGAGAGTCACAATCTAAGAATGAACCCAAATTCATAGTTGACAATATAGGAAATGTGCTCAGGTTTCTCAGTTTATTCAAGTCATGGGCCTCTACCACAGCAAATGTGGCTTGTCATGATTTTTCAGCTTTTGAAGAAGGTAGGTACCTTCTAAACTTGCTTGTAATAAATCCTATTTCTCTCCCTATACTTTTCATAGGTCAAAAAGATAACAAAGTAAATGTAAATGAATGAACATGACTGTTTTAACATGCCAAAATAAAAGCGGGTGGAAATCTTTCCTTATTTAGGAGGGCAGCCATACAGACACACTATTTCTTGAGCCAGTGTGGTTAGAAGAGCTTCTGCGGAGGAAATCTCCATTGGGTCACACGAGGAAACACACGTGCAGCTCAGAAGCAACTGGGGAAATTCGCTTTCCTATTTTCATGAAATCAGCAGTGATCCACGTAAACACCGTTGAGAATCTGAGGAAGGTTTTCTGTCTCTCTTCACTTAATTATAAGCTACTTCAAGACAGTGATAGTTCCTTGTGCATCTTTATCCCTGCTGCGGCATTGCCTGACACAGCATGCCTATTCAATCGTGGGTAAAGACATTATTCTGAGGATCAAACAATCCTCCATCAACCCAGGACTTCCTCTGCTCAAATTCTTCTAGTGCTCTAGAGAGCTCGTTCCCTCCCATGGCAGTCCTATTAGGAACAGTTGGCGCCTCCTTCTTACTGAATTGAAATTGGCCTCTTTCTCTTGAATTTGATGTAGAAGATTGTGGATTTGAGTTGTACAGTACTGACGCTGCATGTAATAGGACTATTAGAATTAGTCACAAATAGACTCAAATAGGTCTCATCAGAACATTCTAATTCTTTTGAGTTTTTGCCATGAATGGAATAAAGTTCTTTTGGGAACCACTTTTCTTGAAGATTCCTTAGCATCCCAACTTTTCTCACCTGCTGTTCTATGCTTATATCTGGCCCTTAACCTAAGGGAGGAGAAATGCTGTACAGCAACTAAGTTCACAAGTGAATTCTCCAAAAACTTAGTGTAATGACAAACTTATTTTGGTTTGGTAAAGCCCCAAGGGCCTTACCATGTGCTATAGTATAAACAATTACTAAAGAGAAATGTACAACATCATCACCAGTGAGTACCTCTAGGCTAAACTGTCACGTCATTGAAACTAATAAAATTTTCCCATGATGTTCAATGCCTTTATTTATTCATTCAACAAATATGCATTGAGATCTTATAAAACCTCACTTTATTATGTTTCACATCTTATATTTAACTCCTTGATGTTAATTTTATTTAAGTTCTTTTAGATAATAGGACAAAAGTTTTGCAAATGTTATGTTTATTTATTTGTCTATATGCTAAAATAAACTTTTAAATAGTGGTCTAGAGAAAAATATTTTAAGTTGGTATGTTATTAAAATTGTACACTTATGTGCCATTTATAAATGTGATGCAATCTATACATATCCTTTTGTTATATGAAGAAATTATAATAATGTGTTATCGGGATAGAAAAGAGAACTGTCTTAGATTTTCTTGTGTTATTAGGATTATTTCCTAGATACTAAAAATCCCCCAAAATACATATTTAAAAATACTTCAATAATTTAACTTAAGATCATGAGAATAGTAGCTGCATTTGCAAATCAGCTTAATGCAAGTATATGGGAAACCTAATAGTTTTCTGAATAGAACAGTTCTGCTTCACTATGTTTCTTCTTCACTACATGAATATTTCTGCCTTCACAAACATGTAAACAGGTAAAAATAGATCAAATAGAGACAGTTACACACTTTGTTCAACTCAGGAGTCAGAGAGGTTAGAATTCAATTACAAATACTTTTCATTTGTTACATTATGCAAACTTGGAACTAGAGATTATAATATTTAGTGAAAATATTTCATGTTTTAAGATGTACATTTTCATTTCCCAAATAGATTAAACAGATGATCAATATACAAACAGTAATTGTACCACAAACTTACATTACAGACAACTACAAAAAATGTGAAAAAACAATGTTTATAAATGATAGTGAAGAATAAATTATTTTTCAATGCCCATAATTAGGTATATACAGGATAATTTAAATCCAAATGGAGTGATTGCTAATGCTGAACTCTTAAAAATCTTCATCAAAATATACGTTACCCGAGAGTGATCAAAATAAATTGTGACAGAAAAGCAGAATGTCTCATCTCTCTTTTCATTCGCTAAACTTGTATGATATTTCATCGAAAGACTTTGCCAGGTGTGCAAATGTTGGAAAACTCTAATGCCAAAACCATTTCTCTAAATTACCAACAGACTTATATTCTTGATGCCTTTTCACATGATCACAAGCCAAGCATGCGTGTGATTCCCAAAACCGTGGAAGATTTACTGTGAAATCTTTCCTCCAGTTAAAGTAACTAAGGTACAACTTATTGTTTTTGTCAACTTCCTTCAGATACTTTGCTAGCTCACTTGGAGAGTTATAATCTTCCACATGAATGAATGAGTCTGCTGGAATATAATTTTCATAGTTTTCCCTAGATGGCCCCAGGACAATAGGTACGGAGCCAGCCAGAAGAGCATTGTAGAGCTTTTCTGTGATGTAATCTTTGTGGATTGAGTTTTCGAAGGAAAGGTAAAATTTACAAGTAGATATGGTAGGAATCAAATTTTTATTATTCACATACTCTCCAAATGCTTGCCCATACGTATGGATTTCAATGCTTTTGCTTAGCTCGTTGTAATACTTGACCCTGGCGTGCTCAGGGTTCCAGTTACTTACAACCCAGCACACTAACTTCTCTTTGCTTGGCACTTCAAACACGAAGGGGTTTGTGCTCACCGTCAATACGCCATAAGGCACTTGGATGTCTGAGTCGCGGCGATAAGTCAGAGTGAGATTGAATAGGTGCTCAATACCATTCTTCTGGGGCGTGTGAGTTGGGGATTCCAAATTCATCCAAATCCATTTCTGGAAGGGTGGCCTGGCCTGCTGAGGTAAATTCGTCAGATCCCAGCTGATGTCTCGGTGATGGATCAGAACCGCGTGAGATTTGTTGTAGAGAGAACGGTCTGTTGTGAGATGGCATCCTTGGATGTTGAACATTGCTTGGCAGGAGGTAAGGTCAAAGGTCTGCCCAAACGGCCACACCCAAATCAGAATAGTAGTTTCATTAACGGAATCAGTTTTGGTGGTGAAGAAATTTTTCATTTTCAGCACTGAGCTGGTTGACTCCATTGGACTGAAGACCCAGCTGTTGGTGGGCTTGATGTAAATGAGAAGACATGCCATAAAGAAGCCCAGAATAAAGCAGACAATTAAAAATGGGCGGAGAATTCCTTTGGATGTTGATGTCATAATTTTTTCTATGAAACAGAAAGAGAAAGAGGGGTAGGTGGGGTAGGGATGAAGAATTAATCATAAATATAACTTGACATAGACATGTTGTAAATCTTAAAATACATTTAATCACAGAATCAACTGAATTTTCCTTTTTAGTGTTATCAAACCACTGAAAGGAAGTTTCCCCTAAGTGTTACAAATGAGTCAGAATTTGGTAAACATGTACCAGCTATCTTCAAGCCAGTTACAGTTTATTTTCTCAATGTCACCCTTACCTGCTATATTTTTATTTGCTTGCTGAACACTGCAAGACAGACTGTCATTACGAAAGCTTTGGCTAAAAGTTTTAATATTTTGAAACTAGACCAGACTTGTGAAAATTTCCCAGTTGATATAACCATTCATTTGCTAGGGTACTTTTTGAGATTGCAATGTAACTTTGCAGTTCAGATGAAACTCAGTAAAAAATAAAAAACAACATTTAAAAGGAAAAAGTTATGTTTTTGTATTTTTTGGTATAAGTTTATATTCACTGTTAAAAATGGCAACTCTTAATCTGATATCTGTTTTTGTTTGTTTTTATTTTGTTTTTTTAGTAAGTGCACTAATACAAACATTGAATAAACAAAACCCCTTATTATTTAATTTAAAAAAATTTTTTCTTACCCTTTTTATGGTTTGCATTTAATAATTTCTTACTATACCCAATATCTACTAGGATGTGATAATCAAATGCCCTGTTGGCATTAGAACAACATTCCCACTTATGCGGTATGGGCCGTTCAAATAGTTTTTTGTAGCACTGAAATGATATTAGTATTATGGAGGGGCCTAAACAAAATAAGCCAGTCAGAGAAAGACAAGTATCACATGATATCACTTATATGTGGACTCTAATGAACAAAATAAATTGATGAACAAAAAAGACCCAGAGACATTGATGCAAGCAACAGACTGATGTATTTCAGAGGGAAGATGGGGGCCGAAAGGAGATTAACCAATGAACTTATATGCATATATGCATAGCCTATGGACAGACAATAGTGCAGGGAAGGCATGGAGAGGCTATGGGAGGAGAGTGAAGGAGGTCAATGGGGGTGGGGGGAGGGACATCTGTAATACTTTCAAAAATAAAAATAAATTTAAAATGATATTAATATTATAAAAATAACAATAAATGAATTATCAAAAGGGAAGAATTAAATTTCATGGAGAACAGTATTGATCTTATGAATTTTAGCAGATTGCAGTTAAAAAGATGAATCAAGGCTTTTAATTTTTTAAATAGAATTATGGTCAAGGTTTTTCCTCTTTGCCATTGATGGCTCTTTATGAATATAAACACAAAGATAAAATATGTTTACAAAACTGTCTCTGAAACTCATTATTCTTCTCAACAAAATGATATGGTCTTTCAATTTCAAATTCTTTAAAATATTTCAAAATCTTGATCAAAACTAGTGTAGAAATATTAGATGTTTAAAGAAAAAGGGAGGAATTGTTCTTAATTAAATACTTAAATTTATGTGAACATTTCAAAAAAATCCTATATTTTATTATATAGTTTTCTTAAAGCCTATGATATTTTCTACATGGCAAAGCTTGATTTTGTGAGTCAAAAAATTCTGGACATTTTATCCTAGACACACCACTAGAGAAGAATTATTGGAATCAGAGACTGAGATGTGCTGTCAGAATTAGCTTCAGACCTATGAATTCATTAACAAAGGAAAAGAGTATATTCTAAATATGTCAGGAACTATTAATTAACCACCAAGTGATAGAGAAAATCAGAATGAATATGAAGGAAATCTCAACTCTTTAGGACTAAATGACATTGATGGTACTACTTGTCAAGTTTTGTAATATGTAGTTAAAACAGTACTTATAAGAAAATGTATAGATTTGCACAGTTTTCAGGAAATTAATTAACAAATTGGTCACTCAACAAGCTGTACTCAACAATGGTGCAAAGAAATAAGAAATAAAGGATTAAGATTTTGGGTAGAAATCATTGAAATTGAGAGCAGAGATTTGAGAGAATTAATATCACATATAACTGTGTGAGATGATGAATGTTAACTAAACTTATTGTGGTAATAATTTCACAATATATATATATTTTAAGTTATTTGTTGTATGACTTAAACTAATACTATTTTATATGTCAATTATAATTTCATAAAATTGGAAAAATATTAAGGTAAACTTTAGGTAAGTGTAATAATCAAGAAGAGAAATCAAATTAAATATCTAAAAAGAGTAAGTAATATTGGTTTATCATAAAAAACCTAAAAATGACTATTTGAAGTAATTTTATGGTAATACATTTGAAAAACTGATGAAATAAATGGTTGTTTCTGCACAAATAGAAAAATGCCAATTCTAATCAGAAACTATGATTAAACAAATAACAATTAAAGAAATGGTATTCATAAATGCTAACTAAAAACAAACACTAGAGCTAGATAGTTTTGCTGGAGTGATATCAACAATTCAATGAGTAAAGAACACTGCTGTCACTTAAAAAAATTATTCTACAAAACAGAAAAATAAATAAAGAAGCTTAACTCATTATATGAAGCCAATTATTATCTTGTTGACAAAAGAAGATATGAAAAGCTAAAAAAAGTTGTATTTCACTTATGAACACAGTTGCAAAAATACAAAAATGTAGCAATAAAACATATTGAAAGCCTATCATGATGCAATTCATGAACAGGTTTATGGCAATTTAGTTACATTTGACACTACTGGGATCTACAGACTGAGAAAATTTATTAGGAGGATCCCCTTTTTAATGGAGTGATATTAACCTTTGGTATACATGATTTGATTAAGCACTGCAGTGTTGTTATTGTTTTTCTCTATGTGACCAATGTTTAAGGATTTTTAGAAGTGCCCTCATTGAAAATTTCCATAAGTCCTTTTTGAGTTGAAATGCAATGGCAGAAACTATTTAAATAGATGATGTCAATTTAAAATAATCGGGTTAAACTTTAATAGCCACCAGCCACTGTTTAATAAATGTTCATTCTCCACTAGGCCTGTGCCGAGCACTTTGCACACATCATTTCTTTTAATTCTCATAGAGCCTTTATCATGGAAATCTTTTATTACCTCTTCTTTACAGCAGAGGAAATTGAGGGCCAGAGATATATCACTAGCTTAAGCATTGAGTTATGATCTCTCTTGCTTTCTTTAACTAAATAATGCAAGCACCAATAATCCATTGAGGTACATTAGCACCTCAAATTTTATTGTCTTGACATTCCTGGTCTGTACCATTTTCTCTATAATAAAGGATGACTCTTTACCCATGAGTTAAATTTAGATCAATTTCCCTAAATAAGAAAAATACGTTACATTTATATGGTGCTTATTAGTGCCAAACTTTGATCTGAGCACTTACATTAATATATATACATTAACATCTATACATATATATATGTGAGCACATAAATTACCTTATTATATTCCAGTTTTATTGATGAAGAGTCTGGGGCCCAGAATGGTTAAGAAACTTGCCCAGGTTCACACAGTTAGCAAACGGCAGAGCACATTCAAACGCAGGCCATCTGGCTCCAGAGTCTGGGCATTTGATAACTATACTTTATATTACTGATTCCTTGGGCTGCAGCCAGAGAATGCAATCATCCTGGAGATACCAGAATGGAAGCTTCGTGAGGGTCTTTGTTTCTTCACTGTTGTATCTTCATCACCCGAAAATAGCAGGTGCTTAATAAATGCTGTATATGTTACCTGAATGACTGATGAATCCCCAACTATGTGCAAGGTAAAATGCTTGGTAGCTAGAAAAACCAAAATGAACCAAGTATGAATGAATGAATATATACGTAGTTGATTTCTCGATACATTTAACATATATTTCTCAACAGAAAATTACCATTAAAATTGACATGCAGGCATTCCTATCACTAGATGAGCAAAATCTCCCAGTTTTGCCTCTGTCATGTCTCAAAGTTGGCATCAATCTAGCACATTTTAGTCCCCCGCCCCCCTTTTTTTTTTTGCCAAATGAGAAGGAACTAATCACCAGGCAGAAAGAATGTTCTGCCCACTGTGTGCCTTTCAGTTTCCCCTGCTTCCTGGACATTTTGTATTACTTAGGGTTCTTCTTGTTAACTCTCTGAATACCCTCTCCCCTCACCTTTTAACTGCTGTCAGGGTTAAGTACCAAACAGGAGGAGCAGTTACTCATTAACCCCTGCTTTGTACAGAAAACTGTCCGAAAAGTTGGCCTCTTGGAGCTAAGTTGGCATCCCCTTTACAGGAACCTTTTCACCTATTCCTAATAACTGGATACTCAACATGCCTTCAACTGTTTATCAATAGAACCTATTTTGAAAGCATCTGGAGCTGTGTCAGGATAGAGCTCATCAGAGACAGTAAGTGTATAGCATAAAGCAAACTGCAATAGCAAATCATATAATTAAACTTTTTCAATTATTTTAATAGTTTCAAATACTAGGAAAAATGTAATTTAAAGATGTTAGCATTAAAAATGACAGAATCTTTAGTAAAAGTACTACTTTATAAAACTTGGTATGCATATGATTCTGTTTTCCATTAAAACACAACCTTCAGTCATACCTTACAATTGCTCTATTGAGTATTAAAGAATGGAAGACAGTTTGTAATAAAAAAGGGTTCAACTTGTGCTTCTCAAGCCATAAATATACTTAAAGGCATTAGGGAGAGAATTATGAAACCAAGGAGAACAGGGGCTTCTTCAAGAAATGGTAATTCTACTTTAAGTTTTTGTTGTTGTTATATTGTGTATGTATATTTTAAATTAAACGAGGTGTAACCTCACACATGTCAGAATGGTTATCATTAATAATCAACAAATGACAAATGCTGGCAAGGATGTGGAGAAAAGGGAATCCTAGTACACTGCTGGTGGGAATGCAGACTGGTGCAGCCACTGTGGAAAACAGTATGGAGTTTCATCAAAAAATTAAAAATGGAACTCCCATTTGACCCAGTAATCT